TCACTAGACCAGCTCTCTAGCATGACTTGAATCCCATATCCATGGGCTTAAGCCCAAGCTGTAGCTTTTTCCTAAATCTGCATCAAAATTTTCTGTAACCTCAAGATGACATATAAGCTTCTACATGCATTGGGAGGTCAGGTCATCACTCTGTGATTCTCCCTGTGAGAATCTGCATCAAGACAAACTGTAAGGGATCAACTTTGAGAAAGTGCATAAGTAAAGACTAAGTTTTACTACTAATATAGACCCTCAATAAAAACGTAGCCATCAAAGAACAGCCCTTGCCACCCAGATACAGCTAAGATGGCACATAGAGCCAAAGTTCCACACTAGTCCAGAAGAGATACGATTGTTTTGGCCACACTGGTTCAAATCCATCATAAAGAGGTTGATATCTGAACCCTCTGGTTGGCCGTTGCTACCTCACTGGGTATAGACAGGACTCTACCTGGAGGTCAACTCAGAAAGCAGATCCAACAATTTAACAAATTCAATAATTTAAAACAAAATGGTTATAAAGACAACATTTTACGATAAAAAGAAGGTGTTCAGATATTACTTTAGATTAACATTTCCCAAGACGTGTACAATAGAATTCCATGAGACATTTAAAAAATCTTTTTAGGAGGAAGTTATCATCTCCAGCATTTGCAAACACATGAAGCCCTGCTCCCTCTACCTACTGTTTTCTATGAGCATCTTAAAGAGCTGTGTTCTAAATAACACTCCATTAGGAAATACCTATACTAAGTAAGCCACACCAGATAATTTGGGTCAAGACTTTTATACCCAGTGAGGACAGGACATGATAATGTTTTTCCCTGCCAGAGTCTGCCTTATTAAGGCTTAGGTGTGTAGTGGTGGAAAGAAAGGTTCCCTTTCACCCGTCGAAGTTTCACTGAAAAATCAACTCATAAGAGGCAGAATAGTCAAAGAAATGACCTACAATTTATTAACGTGTACACAGGGAGAATCACAGAGTGATTACGTGACCCCCCAATGGATGGAGAAGCTTGTATGTCATCGTGAGGTTACAGAAAGAATAAAGGCCGAGAGTAGCCTAAAACAACTTATGGTGGTAAATCAGGTGATTGTCAAGAGAGGCTGTGGGAGAGAGAAGAGAAGGCTTGGCTAACAAAGGTGGTCTTCTTATATAAATGAAACGTCACAGGTAGCAGTTGTCAGAGAGAATAGATGGAATATGTTTCTTTCAGTCCTTTAGAGGTGTCAGACTCTCAATTAATCTTTCCTAGATCTGGACAAGGGAAGGCCTGACAGTGTCAATGCAGATTCTCTACAGATGCAAATCTCTCCCACGAATGACAGCTTTGCAAGCCTACTTCTGCTTGCTGGCTGTCTGAACAGCCAACTCAAAATATGTCAAAAACATATATTTTGCAGTAAAATAATTCTTTTTCCTTCAGTGCATTTTTCAGGGGTGGGAGAGGCTAACACCTTTGCCCTCCATGCCCCTACCACCCCACACGCAGTACACCCCAGTGATGCTCTCCACGGTCTTTTGTACAGCACTTGGCTCAGAGTAAAGGCTCCAAGAATTTCTGCTGAACTGGATTAAAAGGATTTTAAGCTTAAAATTACTCTTAGGTAAAGAAATAAAAAATCACTTCTTGGGAATTTATGATATACTTGGAAAAGTAAATATAGCATTTAATAATCAAGATAATTTTAATCTAAAGGAAAAAAATAAAAGGCAGGATGAATCTTTCTTGTTATGAATCTCTATGAGACTGAAAACAGTAAAGGTAGAAGGATTCAGAGGCCGTGGAAATTCTATCATTTCCGTGCATCTCTCTGTGAATGCCACCTGAATATTGAGTGAACACAGCTTCTAGATTCCAAAACCTTATTCCAGCTCAGTCGTGTGAGTCCAGGCTAGATGGGAAGGTTGCACCATTTCTGAATACAAATGGGATTTGCTTTTTTTTTTCTGATATTTCTTTTTAGGCTGTATATATTTGGAAGAGAACTTGTGATATTTTGGTAGAGAAACATTTATTCCAATATCAGTTCTCGTCTTGTCACTTATCAAAGTCAAACCATGGTTGTGGATGAGAGGGGAAAATAATACAGTCACAAGATGATATTCTCCAAACGTTTATTGAGTACCTACTATGTGTCAGAAATGCTCCAGAGCTGTGATAAATGAATGCATAAGATAAAGCTCCTTATACCATTGAGCTCACACTCTAGTGGAGAAGACAAATATACACCCAGTTGACATCTTCATTCAAGAAATCAGATTGAATACCAATTGTGGATCGGGAAATATGCTAAACAACGAGGAATGAGAACATATCAATATCTAATAAAGCAATGTCTACCTCTGATAAACTTAGTGTATACTTGGAGGAAAACGCGTGAGTAATTCACTGCATTGCAATTGGTAAGTGCTTATAATATAGTTGCTAACTCTGTCTAGAGATTTAGAAACATTTTCACTCAAGGGTATTATTTTTTCTGGTTTTTGAAGAGGAAGGATGAATCCATTTGGCAAAGAAGAAAAAGACCCCCCAAAAAGCAACAAAAGCAGATAAGAGCAACCCTTAACATTGTATTTTTAGGGGGACTGTGGAGCCCCTCCGGGTGCACTCAGTCCATTCTAGAGAGAGGGGGTAACTGACTTCCATAGGAGACCAGAGTCCACTCATCAGACAGCTGCAGGGACTGATCCTTTTGTGCAACTGACTGATGTACTCGGCCATCTTCTAAGGTAAGCAGCCCATGCAGTCACCTATCCTGTGCCGTTCTTGTGTCCCCACGCTGGGCTTTCAGCCTCTAACATTCCTCACACTTCTCATTTTCAAGCCATTCCACTGTATCCCAGTGAGTCTCTGCTCTCTGCTACACAGGGTGCCTTCCCCTTCCGCCTCTCCAACATGCTCTCCATTTCATGTCTTCACTCACAAACTTCTCAAATGGGAGCGACTTATAAATACAACTGCATCCAAAGGTAGCTCAGGGTCAGGATCTGGGATCCATCTGGCCTCTGTTCTCCAATGGTCCTTTTGGTCCTCTGTGGAAACATCTCTGCTCTTTTAATCATCCCACATTTGGTTAATAATAATAATGATTAATAGTTACTGAGAGATTATGGCTCTGATTTTAAGTGCTTCAAATGTTATAAATGTGTCATCATTATAAGTATTTCCTTTTCTTCATGAAGTGCTAGACAAGGTCTTCCACTAAGACCAAGGTGGAAGGTCAGAAGCTTGAGCACAGAAGAGGTATGAAAAAGTATTGGACAGTGGGAAAGCAGCTTGTTAAAAATAAAACAAGATTTCCAGATACAGGCATGTGAAGCTAAGCAACTGTTTTTATCTAAGGATGGAGCTTTGCCAAGCAAGCATTAAACAAAGGAAGGAGAGACTGTTCAGAGAGTTGGGGTATTTATAAGACAGTGTCTTTAATGCTGGTTCACAAAACACACTGTTTGAGATTGTCAGGCTAGAATCACTTTGTTAGATGTAGGAACTCTGAAAGGTGGGATATTTAAGCAAATGACCTGGAATTATTGAAGTTGTGGTCAGGGAGGGTATGAATTTGCAGTATTGGATGTTTTGCAGTCTGGTGTTCTCAAGATCTGGCACTTCTTCCCTGGGACTAGAAAGCAGCAATGGGGATGTTCTAAACCAGGGCTTTATGACTTAAAATACAATATTTTATTGTCTATTTATATACATATATATATTAGAAATTACATTAAACAACTATTTTCTGTGGTCACCAATGGTATTCTTGCGGCTACCTCAAATTCAGCCTTTAACATTTTGAAGTCACTTGCCTATAGTACCTGCATAATTAGGCATAATTAACTTCCTCCTTCCTGAAATGCTTTCTTCATTTGGATTCTGGGACCCACACCTGCCTCTGTCTACTTCGTTTTGCATCCTGAGTGTGCCCACCTGTGCTTTTCCCTGTGTCATGGGACTACTTTTGTTAGTTTACACATCCCTGCAGATACTTTCACCCACTTTCAGGATTTTAAATATCAGATGCATTTTTCCAAACTCTAATTACAGCCCTGAACTTCATCCTGAGTTCCAAATGTGAGTGAAATTCTCTACTTTTTGCCAACTAGATACTATGGAGACAGCTCAAAATTCAAATTTCCATACCTGACCTGGATCATTCTATCCACAAACTTGCTTCTATTCTCATGTTCCTCAATTCAGTAAAACATTCATACTAAGGTGTGGAGGTTTTGAAACATGTCTTTGAGGGTTTTTTGTTTTGGTTTTGTTTTTTTGACATTACTTCCGTAGAGAGAAGTACTGTTCATGTTCCTTCCTCATAAATTTTGGAGGGATTGTGATGGCTTCAGTCAATATTGTACTGCTGAACTTCCCCTATGAGATCTTTGAGACTGGATCATAAAAGCTAATACAACTTCCACCTGAAGTTGCACTTGCAACCCTGAGCCACCAAATAAAAGGCCATCTACAGTGAGGCCGCTATGTTGCAAGGAAGCAAAATCACATGGGGGATACAGGTAGACTCTGGAGTTTTCAGTTTTCATCTTTACTTTCTCCCCACCCGTCTGCCAGACACATAAATAAGATTAGTTAATTCCAGCTCACATCATTGAGTTACCCTCGGCTTTCAGTTCTTCCAAGCAGAAGCCTCATACAGACATCACAGACCAGAAACATGCCATCCTTGACACGCCCTTCTGAATCATTGGCCTTGAGAATTGCAGTGAATAATAGAATAGGCATAGTAGAATGGTTGTTATTTTAAAGTTTTAGGTGGTTTGTTGTGCATCAATACTTACTGGAACAGACTTTGGCACTTGGAAGTAATTGTGGTTACAGCTACAACAAAATCCCGAAAGATGCAGCAGTGGCTGTAGGACCAGGCAATGTGTGGGACTAAGGGTTCAAGAAAAGGCTGGGAGTCCAGGGAGGCAATTTTGTCAATACCTTCAACCACAGTGTCATGGAAATCAGAAAATATACTTAATGAATTGAGAGATCTACCTAAGATGATTTCAAAGCAGATTGTTAAAACTTCCAATGGCTTCTTTTAGCTGTGTATGATAAGACAAAAATAGAAAGAGATGAGCTAAAAATGAATCTTTCAGGTTTCAGAAAAAATAATTAAAGGAAATAGAAAAGATCCAGAATTTTCTGCGTTCAAAAATAAAGCTATTATTTTCCTAGTTTCTCCCAGAATGATATTCTCAAAGTAAGGAAGGGCCTAGACCAAAGGTCAAATTGAGGGTGACGCCAACAGGGTAAAGGCAAACCAAGTATGTGATTATAAAACCTTTTTGACAAGATCTCAGCAAGATTTAAATTGGTGCTTATAGACTCTTAAGGAGTCTTAAGAAGATCTGAAGATGTCTTTCTATCTTTCTGCATGCCTTATAAGCCCTCTCAGTAAAGCACTTATGAATTATAAGACTGTTGCCTCAAGGCAGCCCAAGTCAAAGAAGAGCTTATTGAAATACCATTTGTGTGACTTTTGCCTAAATGGAGAGTATTATAAACTGATACATAGGAACTTTAAAATATTTGCAAAAGAATTGTATGAGCTTGAGCTGATGGAGACAGAAACAGTATGAAATGAAGAGACTTATTGATCCACAACCTTATATGGGGAGGAATCAGGTTGAGACAAAAAAGTCATCTCTTTTGTTCATAAGTTTTTAGCTCAAGAAGATTCATACTGGAGAGACTGTACTTTAAAGACCCATCTGCACCTATATTTAATTTAGATGATGAGACCCTAGATTTTTTATTTGATTCTGTAATGGAGTGAGAAATTTAGAGGAGGAGCTAGGTGTATGTCACATGTGAGAGAGATGTAAATCAGATTTCAAACTTCAGTAGTTTTAAAACATGGCTTAAGAAACCTTCACACTCTGTATTGAGTGATCGGGTCCATGCACCTTTTCCTTTGCACCAGTAGAGCATGTCTATCATAATGTTGGATTATTTACAATTCTAGATCACAGAAGGTACAGCTTCTACCGTGCTCACTAGCTCATTTGTACTTGGAGCCCTGAGTCACCATGGAAGAAGTACAAACACCTCAAGTCTGCCATATTATAAGGGATTTAAACCATATGGGGAGACAATATTGATAGTCCAAATCATTAGTTCTTTCCATCCAGCTGCCAGAAATGTGAGTGAATGAGGTTTTAGTTAATTCCAGTCCCTCAGTCTTTAAGTTACCCCCATCTTTCAAGTTTTTGATGAATCCCCAGAGGTCATGGAGTTGAGAAAAACCATCTCTGTGGTGGTTGCCATTTCTGAATTCCTGACCAACAGAAATCATGAGTATAATTAAGTTTGGTGTGGTTTGCTATACAACAATGAAAATCAGAACACCAAATCAGATTCCTGGAGGTTATCCTTAACACATTCCTTCTTATGTGCACACCTGTATCTCAATTAATGTCAAGTATCAATTTTCTACTTCTAAAGTATCTGTTGATTTTATCCTTACCCGAATTAACCCTCCCATCAACCAGCTTTCTCTCTGACATAAGAAATGATCCTTCTATTCTACTTATTATTCTTCAACTAAAGTGATGTTTCTAAAGTAGAAATATAATTATCATTTTCTCCAGTCGTTTGGACTCTCCCACCACCTAGCCCTTTTACAATACAACATGGTTCATAGGGACCCTCATGAGATGAACCTCATTATTCTGTTTAGGTTTGGCCCTCAGCCCTCATATTATGCTCCATACTCTTCTTAGCTATAAAGAGCTCCTTTAATTTTCTCAAACACATCCTCCTTTTTCTCTCACTGCTAGGCCTCTTAATTGGCTATTCTCTTTGTTTTACATTCAGTGGTGCCCATTCTACTGCCGAACTCTTAGTTATTCATCAGTTCTCAGCACAGATATCACCTTGTCCATAGCCTCTAGCCTTATTCCCATCCTTTTAGTTGTCTATGCATTGTTTGACTTTCCTACTAGTCTGTAAACTCCTAGAAAGTAGGAACTTCCTTTTTCAAGTGAATAAAGAAATGAAACAGAAGTTGATAACATGTGTCCCCTAAACTCAGGGAGACATCTTTCCTCCAGAGGAAAGAGGGACAAGAATAAATTTTAAATGGATGTAATTTAGAGAAAGATAGAATAATTTCTGTCTGGAGAAACAAAAATAGCCTTTTACAAATAGTTGTTTTCAAAGTGGGCCTTGGTGAATAACAATTAACAAAACTAAAGCCAAAAAAATCTTCTATATTCCCAAGAAATCTGGTGATTTTATGTGAATGTCTATAGAAATAAAATCTATTTATACCTACCCCAAGCTACTCCATCAAATTATAACCCATTTTCCCTTCAGAAATAAAACCTCTCTGAAATATTTTGAAATATTGAAAACAATCTGTAGGTGCTTACAAATAGAGATGATTTGCACGTGCTTACAAATGGGTATCTATCTTTGATATCTAGGCCATCCTTTTTCTGAAATGCTTAATGATGGTAGAGTTGTACCCAACCAAGGTCACAAGGGCCTGGTCTCCTCCTATCCTAGTGGGTGCAGTTTTAAGGAAATGCTGAAGGGCATTCTCATCATGGCAACAGAAATCACAACCAGTAATCATCACAGAGTTTGAAGAGCCCTCAAAAAGATAAGCTACAGGTTTAATTTTTAATTGGAGCTTGTTAGAGCCAAGGCAAATATATCTAAAAGGGTTGGGAGCCCTTTTATAGGGGAATTCTGTGTTGATTATAGAATATGCCTCCTCCTAGGCAGACATTAAGCATTTCATCATGGTTTGGGTTTTACAGGGTTTCCTGTCATCCACTTATTCAAATAATTTCAAATAAGGCTTTTTGCCAAGAGTATCTTGAATAATACTTTCTTGAGAACAATTGTGAATGAAGTATCTGTTTCAGAATTCTAAGTGCCCCTGATGGCATTGTCCATTCTGGATATTCTTATTGTTTGTTTTGGCTTGGGCAGTAATCGTAAGCATGTAATGTCACTGGTATAAAACCAAAAGAGTAATGAGAATTAGGAAAGTTCATATGATGAAGTATTTTTATGTTACATCCATCATTTATCTATCCATTTAGTCCCTCATTTATTCAAAGTATTTGTTAAGCTTCAAACATGTATTATCAGGCAAATAATAGTACTTATCTCAGGATTATTGTGAAGATTTTAAGTTAATATTTGTAAAGCATTTAGAGCAATTGCATTAGTCAGGGCTTTCCAGAGGGACAGAACTAATAGGATAGATGTATATATGAAAGGGAGTCTATTAAGGAGAAGTGACTCACATGATCACAAGGTAAAGTCTCATGATAGGCCATCTGCAAGCTGAGGAACAAGGAAACCTATAAAGGCTCAGTCTGAGTCCGAGTCCCAAAGCCTCAAAAATAGGGAAGCTGATTTTCCAGCCTTCAGTCTGTGGCTGAAGGCCTGAGAGGCCCTGGCAAACTACTGATGTAAGTCCAAAAGACAAAGGCCAAAGAACCAAGAGTTTAATGTTCAAGGGCAGGAAGCATCCAGCACAGGAGAAAGATGAAAGGGGGAAGACTCAACAAGCCAGCTTAACCCACCTTCTTCTGCCTGCTTTGTTAGAGCCACTCTAGCAGCAGATTGGATGGTGCCTACCCACGCTGAGGGTGGGTCTTTCTCTCCCAGTCCACTGACTCAAATGTTATCTCCTCTAACAACACCGTCACAGACACACTCAGAAACAAGACTTTGCATCGTTCAGTTCTGGAGGCCAGTAGTGCAAAATCAAGGCGTCTATAAGGTTGATTCCTTCTTGGGGCCTCGGAGGGAAAATCCACTCCATGATTCTCTCCTAGCTTCTGGTGACAGCTGGTAATCCTTGATGTTCCTTGGCTTGTGACAGCATCACTCCAATCTCTACCTTTGTTGTCACATGGTATTCGCTCTCTACATCCTTGTGTTTCTGCTTTCTCTTCCTATAAGGACACCAGTCACTGGAGCAGGGCCCACCTGATTCTAGCATGACTTCATCCCAACCAACATCTGCAGATTTCCAAGTAAGGTCATATCCCTAGGTTCCTGTTGGACATGAGTTCTGGGGAGACACTAGTCAACACAGCACACCATCTATGTCCCCAAAGTTTATTGCACAGAGGATTGTAAGAAAAGATACTACAGATCCTAAGTGTTTTTAAAATATGTACAATGAGCTCATTCTCTTGCATTATGATGATTTCTAGTTTGTGCCCTGTATTCTTGAGCATATTATCTGATGACACATTGTCTCCCATGAAGTGAGAAGAGCTTTGCCCTGAGAAGGAGTCTGAAAGCATCCACTAGGCAGGTGGAAGCTCAGGCTTATGTCTGAGTCTCAACCTAGCTCTCACCCTGAGTGGGTTAGAGATTTACACTGGCCTGTGCCAGCCCAGAACTGAGTGGACTGTGGATCCCACGTGACGAAGAGACCACACTTGATAAACTATATTGTCAGGTTTCACACAATTCCATCTGATTTTGTTGAATATGTTGTTTTTATCTCAGGCATGCTTTAGAAAATTTCAACTGCACACATGTTTAATACGTCAGCCAGGGCAGAGCAGCAAACATCTGAGACCAGATCAGTGGTAGCAGCAGTAAATTCTCATGGATTCCCAGGACAAAGGAAAATGTTTGGAAGAAGAGCCACAGTTTGAACATCTAGCTACTTCTGCTTCCAAACAGTTTCTTTCTCTCCAGTGAAAACTTTGAAATTTATGAATTTTCAAGTTTTTATTAATTAAGGCTACAATTTTCATATGAAACATACACTCTTTAAGTTGATGTTTGTTTGATTTAATCGGGATAAAATCAGTCCTGTGAGCAATGTGTGTCATTGACGAAGCTGCTTACACCTCTAGATTTCAGCTTCTCCAAATACAAAACAAATACTATTATCTGACACTTGCCAGCAGGACTGAGTCAGAATGCATTAAACCAAGGCTTTAAAATAAACTCTGGATTTTTCAAAGGGAAGGTAAGGGCCAGGCCTCTTACTTACCTGGTAAATGTGAAAGAGCATGATCTCTTAAAAAGTCTACAGACCTGCAGTTGATATCGCCGTCCTTCTCATCTACAAAATAAAGTACAAATCATACTCTATCTACCACAAGGAGTCTCTTCTGAAAGTCTGGATACTAATTTTTAGTGAATATTAATGAGAAGATCTGGAGTTGGAACTACTGATATTCATATTTGGAAATGTGAAGAAGACCTTTCCACTAACTTTCTGCTGACTCCATTGAAATTGTCCCATAAGTGACCAGCCTGGGCAGGAACCACAACTTTCCCAAGGGCCTCAATGCAAGGGCATCCTTGGTTAAAACTCAATAAAGAGGAGGCTCTAACAGCACTTTTAGAGGTTTCTTCTTATAGAAAATGTGACTTTCCTTGAGTGTGCATTTAAATTAAATTAGAAGAAAATAGGCCTATTACTCTGAGACATTTTTATTTAAAGCATTTTCATCCAAAAAGTGATGGCATGAAGCTATATTGGGACTATGTATTTCAGCATTACTCAGGAAAATATAAAGCAGTTTTACCTTATGGTATGAGGATACTGAAAATTGGTTTCATGCTATAATATGAAGGAAGAACATTGGGCTGAACAATAAAATTTGTTTTTGTTTTTGTTTTTGTTTTTTTGAGATGGAGTCTTACTCTGTCACCCAGGCTATAGTGCAGTAGCACGATCTCAGCTCACGGTAACCTCTGCCTCCCAGATTCAAGCGATTCTCCTGCCTCAGCCTCACGAGTAGCTGGGATTATAGACACATGCCACCACACCCAACTGATTTTTCTATTTTTAGTAGAGACAGGGTTTCACCAGATCTCGAACTCCTGACCTCAAGAATCCGCCTTCCTCCGCCTCCCAAAGTGCTGGGATTACAGGCATGAGCCACCATGCCCAGTCTGAACAATATGAGACCAGGATTGTGCCTGTTTCATCCATCACTTCCTGGATGTAACTTTTGCCACTGGGGGGGGCATGCTTTTTCATCTGCAAATGAAGGGGTTGAACTACAGGCTCTAGAAGTTTGTTTCAAATTTAAAATTAAATTATATATTTCTAATTTATTTTAGCTTAGTCACTACTCTATAAATTATAACATGCGTACTTAATGTTTAACATTCTAACTAGAATTATTATTTTACCACTTCAAATGTAAGGTAGCATCCTTGTCACAGTATATAAGCCTGGGGTTTGCTTGGGGAGAGAGAGAAAAAATACAACAGAAGATTCCCCACACTCTCTTTCAGTTACGGCTCCCCTTCCCATTCCTCAAACCAGGAACAGTGTTTTTCCTAGGACTCTTTCTGGCTACACCATTGGACAGTTCTAATATTTGAGCCAACTTTAAATCTAAACTGTGAGTGTGCTCCCTCTACCTTAACCAGAATGAGAACCTTTCAGGAAGTCTTATTGCCCATTACTATGCAATACTCCTTCCTAAAAACAGTCACTTTCAAATAATTTGGCTGAGCTTCTCCTCAGTCCTTCTGTTAAGAGTTCCCGAATGGAAGGTGTGCAGGTGAACAAGATAATGTTCAGCTGCTCTCAGAGATTGCCTTCTGCCTTTTGCCGCTCTGATTGGCCAATACCCTCTAAAACACAAACAGTTAAAGGGAAGTCCCAGGATGCCAAGCTAGCTAATGGCAAGAGATCATGATCCTTTTAGCTTTTTTGAGCTTGCCCTTTACCTTCAGTGCTTTTCCACAAATACCCTGATGCACTTTTCATACTTTGGCAACATTCAACCAATATTTTACACTCAACTAACTAAAATGACATCGGGAATACCAAATATCGCATGCCATTTTCCATCTTTTAAATGATCTATACACCTGGACCTGATATAAGGAGATGCTAGATTTAATAGAGGCATTTACCAAGTTTACTGGAATATAGTAGAGAGGCATTTCCTTTTGCCTGAGAGGGTGGGAGAGAGAGAGCAGTGACTCTGCTCTGGAGATGCTTTCAGATGGATGCTGAGGGATTTTAAAAAAAAATGCAAACAGAAACATCTCTGTAAAATCAAGTGATTTTTATAACCTGAAACGGAGCTAGATTGATAAGATCTAAATGAGGCAGGGTGACAAAATGCAATCCTTTCCACTCTGTGTTATAAAATAACTCTAAATTTAAAAAGCATTGCCATTGCCAAGTATTGCATTGCTCTAAAATTCATGCCCATAGAATATTCAAAAGCATTAAGTTCTACTTTTCAAAAAGCATTTGTTTATTGATCAGATAATTACATAAGTTTGAAGTGCCAAGCAGGTATAAATAAGCAGGAAGGACCTGATGTGTTATTCATCACTAAGTCTCAGGGACTTAATTATTAATGCTCACTGTAGTTGTGAAAAATAACTCGCAAGGAGATTTGCACATATCTGTATCTACCTGCTAGGTTTCTTTCTATTCCTTGAGAAGTCTTCAGCTGGCACAGAATCTTTGGGCATATAAAAATATTCAGTCTTGGCCTTGAAGATAAGTCCCAGCCCATTAAATGTTTACCTGCACATAGAATGATGGCAGGTGAGACGACGACCAGGAGCCAGGAAATATTTCAGGCACAGTTGACCTGTACACAAATGTACCCTGGACTGCACAATTGATAGAAAATGACAACTACATTAAAATGGCCATTTTTGTGACTCAGAAAAATGACTTTTTTTGTTATAGCAATATATACACACACACATGTATATTACAAAAAATGACTTTTTTGTCACAGCAATATATACAGCTATATTTTTTTGAGTCACAAAAATGGCCACTTTAATATAGTTGTCACTTTCTATCACGGTACATGCCTGGGCATATACCTACATACATATATATACACACACGTATACATATATACACACACACACACATATATATGTATACATCCATGCATGTACCTTGAGATGTAGTCAGTGTGGTGGAGTTGCAGAGTACAAGCTGGAGAACCACACGGTCAACTTCAGATGTCAGCTCCCCCAACAACCAACTCCTCAATCTCCCCATCCCTCCTTCTTTCACATTTGTAAAATATGGCTAATTAGAGTACCCGGTTCCCGAGGTCATTATGAGGATTAAGGAAGTGAATATATAAAAAGCATTTAGCACCTGACACATAGAAAGTGCTAAACATGTTCATTATTCCTATCATATACTTAATAATCATATGGAAAGTTTTTATTTTTAAGTTACCATTAATTGAGTGCCTCTTGGTTTTAGGAACAATACCATGCACTGGACTGTTTTTGCTCATGTGTGGTAGAAACATGAGTTTCAAAGAGGTAAAGTAACATGTTGAAAGTTATAAAGCTAATAAGTGACAAAACTAGGATCAAAACCATAAGGCATAAACCCAAGAAGTATGAATGAGACGCCCACTCTGTGCTAACTCTTCTGCTTGAAGTTCAAAATAAAAAGGTCAGACAGGGCCTCAATCTGAGAAACTCAGAGTCTGTTGGAAAAGACGCAGATGAAAGTAGTGCTGTTATAATGTGTGTTACTCTCACCCGTAACTATAATCATTACCTCAATACGATGATTCCCAAATTTTTATTTTTTTCTTGAGTCTTCATCTTTCACTCTAGACCCAAATTTTGATCTCTCCATAGGACCAAACTAGACATTTTATTAACTTTATTAATTTCAACATATCTTCAATATAATTAATCTGTTTTTTTTCTATGAATATAACTATTTCTATACTGCCTTCTTATCCAGATGCAAACTTTGGAGTCCTATTTTTTAATCCATCTTTCTTTTTTGCCCTGATCTGATTGGTAAAATTATCAGTTAAAGCAACGATAGCCTTTTCAATTGTATTAAAAATACACCATGCTTAAGGATTTATTTGACAAAATAGGTGGTAGATGTGTACACTGAAAACAAAACATTACTGACAAAAAATAAAGGATACATAAATAAGCTGAGATATATACTTATTCTAAAGTTACAAGACTAAATTTTATCAAAATTCAAATTCTCCACAAATGCAATCCCAATCATAATCCCAACAAGCTTGTTTGTAGAAATGAATACAGGCACGCCTCATTTGATTGTGCTTTGCTTTATTGTGCTTCACAGATATTGTATTTTTAGAAATTCAAGGTTTGTGGCAATGCCACATTGAGAAAGCTTCTGGGTGCCATTTTCCAACAGCATATGCTCACTTAATGTGTCAGTGTGAGATTTTGGTAATTCCCACAGTACTTCAAACTTTTTCATTATATTACCTCTGTTATGGTGATCTGTGATCAGTGATCTTCGATGCTGTGATTGTCATTGTTTCGAGGCATTCGCTTAAGAGGGAGAACTTAACAGGGGTTGTGCTTGATCTGACTGCCCTCCTGAGCCGCTCGCTCCCTCTCCTCAGGCCTCTGTATTCCCTGAGATACATCAACATTGACATTTGGACAATTAATAACCTATAATGGCCTCTAAATGTTCAAGTGAAGGGAAGAGTAGCAGTTCTCTCACTTTAAATCAAAAGCTAGAAATAATTAAGCTTAGTGAGGAAGGCACATTGAAAGCCGAGATAGCCCAAAAGCTTGGCCTCTTGCACCAAACAGTGAAAGGAAAAGTTCTTGAAAGCAATTAAAAGTGTATTCCAATGAACACACAAATGATAGGAAAGTGAAACAGTCTTATTGCTGATAGGCAGAAAGTTTTAATGATCTGTATAAAACAGCAAACCAACCACAACATTCCCTTAAGTGAAAATCCCTAACTCTCTTCAATTCTGTGAAGGCTAAGAGGGGCGAGGAAGCTGCAGAAGAAAAGTTTGAAGCTAGCAGAGATTGGTTCATGAGGTTTAAGAAAAGAAACCAACTCCATAACATAAAAGTCCAAGGTGCAGCTGAAGCGCTGATATAGAAGTTGCAATAAATAATGCTCACCATTATTTAACATTAGGCAAATACAAACTAAAATCACAATGAGAAACTACTTTGTATTTCTTATAATTGTTAAGATTTAAAAAGGCTAATTATACCAAATGTTGATGAGAATGTAGAGCAACTAAAACACTTCTACATTGCTGGTAAGAAAGTAAAAAAAGAAAAGAAA